AACGTTCGCAGTTCACGACAATTCCAAAATAAACACCTCGTTTTTACATCTCTGACTTCATTGAGCAATAGCCAGGCGTAGTACTCGTGTTTGGAATTGCTGTGCCCTTGACAGACCCGGGGTCACTTGGTGCTCACCCACCATCGCAGTCCGAAGGGGGTCAAAGCTCTGGCATTGCGCAGCTCTGTTCAGTTGTCCTCCAACTTCCGAGCTGGCGACGTCGACTGATCAGCCAGCTGCTGGCCGTTCCCAGAGTGACCGGCTTCTTCAGAGACATATCTGTGAGAAATCAAGAGTCTAAATCAACGTCATCTACCACAGCGTCTGTGATTGGGCAACCAGCACCGGTGAAACGTTGTGAGGATGAAGTTCTGTAGCGCGGTGCTGGCGCTGGTGCTGGGGCTGGCGCTGCTGACTTCAGCACAGCTCCGCGAAGAGCCGGCGGGCTGTCCCAAAGGCTACGTTCATCTGACCGGCGGCCAGTGCGTCCAGCTGAGCATGGCCAACAAGTACCTGGGCGACTCTAACCAGCTCGACCCGCGCTCCACCGGGTTCCGTCCGGTGCGCCGCCGCGGCGGACACTGGCCGGGAGCCTGGGGAGGACCAATACTCGCCGCCAGCAGTCCAGAGGCCCGCCGCGTCCCAGCACCTAGGGTGGAACTCGAGCAGCGCGCTGATCCGGTAGAGGTGGCTAGGAGGCCGGCTGACGGTCAGCGCAGGAGTGGCCAGCGCCGAGGCCAGCACGGCAGGAGGGGCGGACGGAGGCAGGGAGGACGCGGCGTGCTGAGACAGAGACGGCCTACTGACGGAACTGAGACGGCTCCCTCCCCGCTGATGGCGGCTGAGGGTGAAGATGCAGCCCCGACTGAGCCGACCTGCGCCTCCGGTCAGGTGGACGGACGGGGTCGCTGCAGAGACGACCGAGGCAGGGAGACCTCTGGAAGAAGGCGCGGTCGTGTCGGAAGGCGGGGTAAAAACCGTGTAGGACATCGCCGAAGACGCCCGCGGCAGTGCAGAAGAGGCTTCATTCGTCTGAGCAAAGGCCAGTGCATTCCTGACGCAGGCTTCTCTCAAGAAATTGATGCCACTGAAAGCTCGACGACCGTGAGCTCACTCCAGCCAGATTCTACCCAAACAAATGACCTGTCAGATGGCGATGGACTTGGAGAAACGACTGAGCTGGCGGTGACAGACTCTTCCCCTCCTCGGAGACGGCAGGGGCAGAGGCGACGAGGCCCCAGGGAGCGGCACGGCGGGAGGCGCCGACGACCGGGGAGGCGCCAGAACAGCGGACAGGCGGACATCGGACAACCAGACAGCGGAAAAGCGGACAACAGGGACATCGGACAGCCTGACGGCGGACAGCCGGATAGCGGGTCTCCCCGGGGTCCGTCAGGGCGCGGTCGGGGCGGGGCTGACAGACGCGCCGGCGATCGTCCCCCGTGTCCCCCGGGCCATGTCCGGTGGCGGCGCGGGCGCTGTGTGTCCGCGGACAGGCTGCAGGCGTGTCCGGAGGGCTCCCAGCGCCGGCCCGGGGGCAGGTGTGTCCGCTGTGGCGTGCTGCCGCCACTGGAGGATGGACGCTGTCCGGACGGCTGCGCCCGGACAGCGGACAAGTGCGCCTGCTGTCAGCCGGGTCGCCGACAAAAATCGGACAACTGACAGGCAGCGAACGGACAGCCAAAATTATTGACACACGTGTGGTCGAGTCTGGGTCAGTGGCTCTTGAGTTTGACCCAGCCGCGCCGCCGGACAGAAAGCATGGCGCAGGAGACTTGTGCCTCTGCCGGTCACCAGCGACTGCACAACAGCACCAACCAGTCACCAGGACTAAAACAGCAGAGCCGCCGAGTGTGCCGAATAGCGTCATAAATAGCATGCCGAGATTGCTGATGCCGTGGTAGCGCGGTTATGGAGGCTCGTACATTCGGATTGATGTGACTGAGCCCGACGCGAGAACACCGCATGAATGCATGGTCTGTGCTGAAGTTTATTTAAACAAACAAAATAAATCAAAAAGGGACGAGGATTTGTCAGCTATGTACCAAATGGCAAACGGCCGGTTTGTGAACGGAGTTACCTACCTAACAGACGACACCAAATCCGCATGCATACGGACCTTTATCTATGCTTGCTATCTTTCAAAATTTGGTCAGTATGATGCCGATGTAATTTAAATAAGCACATTTGAGATAATTCTACGACCATTCCATAAAAAAGAAATAGACCTTTAGGCTTCACTGTCTTCCAGGGCCCATTAGCTTGTGCCGAGGAGGGCGTTAAAATGCTAGATTACCAAAATATAACAATGATTTAGCTTATGAGATGGAATATCGCGAATTGATTGGTGTTTATATTTTTGGCTTATGGCTTATTCTTGGCTCATTTTTGGCTGATGCAATCAGTTGAGTAGATACCTAGTTATAAGATAGCCGCAATCGGGAAGCGGAATTGTCTGTTTGGCCTGTCACGATCACAGAGGATACACAAAGTCACCACCTACAAAGCGATTGATAAAAATGTGTGCGCCGAGTCGAATTAGCTGCCGTTAATGTCGCGATCGGCCCAGGAGTTGCTGAGCTGAAGGACGGGTACAAAAGACGAGAACGCCTTTCGAAGTCACAACCTTTGCAAAGTTGACCCCTGCCAGGAGAATGCGGTCATTATACTCGAGACGGTTGATCGTGTACCTACTTTATAAACGATATATCGTTGATGCTGCGAATCAAACGCGAGTGTCACCTTACGTCAATGGCTTTTTTCGGCTGAAACCCTGTTCGTGCACCGACCGCCCCATGAGGTCATCCTATAGGGGAGAGTGGGGATAACTGGGACGAGGGAGAAGTGGGACACCTACAATATCTGGATGACCAATTGGACAAACAATTTCGTTTTTGCATATTTTCTCATGAAGTTAGTCGGGGCACGTGACAACCAAGCGGTTCCTTTTTCCGGTTGCCTGTCTCTGAGATATTGAGTTGGGGTCTAAAATACGTTTTTTGGGCATTGTACTCTAATTCAATTTGCCGTTTATTCAGCGACGTGAAATGTTCAGGCTGTTCTCCTTCGGATGTCAGTGAAGTCATCTTAGTTATGCAGGAACATTTTTTAATGTATCTATTATACTTTTTATGTGGGAGACAGTTGAAATAAAAAATGACGACTTGGGGAAAACTGGGACAATGTGCCTTAACCATGTCCCAGTTCTCCCGCATGCAAATGCATGGGAAAATTGTCCAGGATACCTACTCAGTGCTGTCAGTGTAGTTCAAATTACAGATAATCGAGGTGATTTCTTAAAGCGTCAATTTTTAAAACACCTTCTTCTTCGTGATGGGTCATGAAATTTTAGTTGTATTCTATTTAAATCGCAATTCTTTGTCAGTCCCAGTTTTCCCCATCATCTGTCCCACTTCTCCTGGACGTGTCCCAGTTCACCCCATTTTCAACTTTTCCTAAAATTCAAATTTTAGAAGTAACACGCTAAGAAACACGCATAGAAAAATTAAAGAATGAAGGAGAAATAAACCGTTTACCAGCAAATGCAATCAATTTACTTAAATCTTAAATGTTCTATTTTTTACGAATTTTCAAAGTTGTTGTCAAAATAATGGCCCACTTCTCCCCGGTCTCTCCTACCTATACCTAGCTCAGGAACGTCGAACTACTTTGCTAATTCGAAAAAATATCATTTGTTTGTCCGATCAGCTGTTCCTTATATTGTGACCTCGGTAACCTCGAAAGATCAAATTCCTAAACGTTTTCACCTTTTGTACCTATTCTTGTGAAAACGTAAGTGTAGGTACATTTGACCTTTGATGACCTCTGGCGACCTGACCTTTGACCTGACCCAAAAAATAACCGAAGTGTTTTCGTAATTCGTCCTTATTTTTGACGCTCTTTCGAATGCCGCTTACCGCGTGTCGTTACGTGGCCCAGGAGCCGAGTTAGACGGAGGGGGGGTGTTCAGACCCCCCCCCGGCCCGGCGCGGAAGTCGCGGGGCACCGACCCGGCGCGGGTTAAGAACTGTGCCGAATGTTTGGACGCCACGAATCCATGCCGCCCCAGCGCGGGTGATGTTCACCTGCACCAAACCGCAGGCTGCACCGCAGTCTGGCATGCTGCAGTCCCAAGACCCAAGGCCAAACCGGCGAGCTCATGGGGCCTGTGGCGGTGGATCTGCGGTGCCGGTGTCCGAGCACGCGCAACTCTTAACCCGGCGGCCGCTGGGCCTCCGCGCCACCCGCCAGCCGCTGGGGGGGGGGGGCATATAGTTGCCCCCCCTTTACTTCTGCGACGATATCGTCGCAACGCGAAGAGATAGAGACGCGAAACTTTGCACACATCTTTCTGGACACCTAGCCGAGGTTGTGTCCAAATTTGGTGTCGATGGCATTTGAAATGACGTCACAGTGACGTCAGAAGTCAAATTATAGATTTGCGACTCTCAGTTTCCTCGCGATATATCCGATATATGAGACCGAATATAAAGGGCCGATTATTGGTCAGGAACTAGTTGGAAGTGTACTTAGATGTTTTAAGATGACAGCAGGTGCTGTCTAGTTCATTTGCAGTTGAGTTTCATGCTCAGCGTCATCAGAAACGGTCCATATCGGAAAACGACAAAACTTTATGACGTCACTGTGACGTCATCTTAAGTGCTACAACCACCAAACTTTCCTCAAACATTGCCTAGGTATTCATTTGAAGCTGTGCCAAGTTTCACCGTTCACGTTCGTAGCTCATCGGGTTTCGGAGATATTCTACAAAACGTAAAGGGGGGGCAACTTTATGCCCCCCCCCCCAGCGGCTCGTGGGTTAACGATTCTACAGAAAATCAAATATTTGTTAGTCTCATTCAGCTTGGTAGGTACGTGAGTCACGAGAGGTCAAGCGAGAGATGTTCGGAGTTGGCAGTGAAATTGGCTTGCTTTTTAGCAGCACTATTGTCCTATTGCTGGTACATTTTATGCGTGGTGGCGACATACGCAGCGCGATAATTTTTATCCGTATCACTGAACTCTATAATGTTCCGTATGCTTCATCATTCCTATTCATTCATTGCCGCTCGCCGTGTATTTTTTTTTTTTAATTAAAGGGACTATCCCACCTTCTAAAATCAATGTTGTTAAAACCAGTTAAATTGTGCCTGACTTTATAGATTGGATGACCAGGAACACGGTTCTGGCATTTATTTTTCATTAAACATCTTAGGCTTCCCATATTCCAAACACAAACTTTCAAATATGTGACGTCACAGCCCAAAATTACCTCCTTCCCCAGGCCACATTACTGTCATAAAGCTGATTCTTTTTACTCTGTATGCACCACAACAAAGTTCAGACCAAGTTTTAAGCGATTTTTCAACGAACAAACCCATTTAAATCAGAATGACTAAACGAGGTGACGTCACACTAACGGTCGCTCCATGTTGAAGATAGGGCCTTGTACAAGGCCCATTTTCAAATGAAGGGAACGAATTTCTTCACCAAGAGGCCGCGGGGATTGCAACCTAGATAGATAGTGGTTTCTGAACCTCGCCGCAAACTTGGCTATCTCAACTCAAACCCCATGTTAAAGGTGGGATAGTCCCTTTAATGCTTGGTAAATAATTCAAGGTCTCTTTATTTGAGGAAAATTGTGAATATTTATCAACATCAAATGTAGCAAGGTCACAGTCTAATGATAAAATAAGTAAATTATTATTTCTTATCACGCTGGTGTGCTGGGTCATTTCCTTACTGCAGGGATTTTATTTCAAAGCCAACTGCCAAGTCTCAACTATCAGGACCTTGACCGGACTGTCACTGAACTCTATAAGTTGATATAGGTAACCAGTTCAAATTTCTGCAGATTATTAACTAAATTATATTTATATGTGCACTGGCCTGATAAAATAAATTCGGGATCTGAAGTTGATCTGGCGGTAAATGTCAAGTTTAAGTCCTAAGAAGATTTCATTGATAAATTTTTCATATTTTTACATTATTTGACATCCTGAATCCAAAAATGATACTCATATGTCTCGCAAATAAAAGAAAAAACAATCAAACCTGACCTAACCTTACCTACTTACCTAGTTACCTATAACCTACCAACCTACAACCTACAAACCTACCCTAACCTAACCTAACCTACAAACCTACCTACTTACAACCTAAAACCTACAAACCTACAACCTAACCTAACCTAAAACCTAACATTTTTGCTGTTTCATATTTGTATCAACAGCATCACAATTGTAGTTAGGACCTAAACTTGACATATATACCGATCTGGCAGTAGGTTTGTATGGGTATTGATTCTCAAATCTCAGAGATCACCAGTATAGTGCCTTTTGGGGCGACTAACGGAGAGAGCGAGAGGGTGGGCCTTGTGCGTGCGAAATTGCGAGGGGGTACCTCCAGCTGACTTATGCACGGCACCCTACTAACCGGTCTCTAGCAATGTGCCAAATTTGAGTACAATCGGCCCAGCCGTTCTCGAGATCTGGAAGCGGCACCCTGCACGTGGGCACGTGCAACATGGGTCCCGACTGACTCTTGCACGGCACCCTACTAACCGGTCCCTAACTGTGTACCAAATTTGAGTGCAATCGGTCGAGCCGTTCTCGAGATCTGGAATCGACCCCTGCACGTGCGCACGTGCAGCAGCACCCCAACTCTGGCACATGGATATGCAGTGCCTAGTGGGTGCCTACCTACATGCCAACTTTGAGCGCAATCGGCCAAGTAGTTACCGAGATATTGCAACAATTACAAATCTGACACCTCTTCGTTTTGCACGTGGCACGTGCATAAGGGGTCACCCACATGCATCAGGAATAGTCCAATACTTGGTAGAAGGAATGAAGCTACCCTACAAAAATTACCGCATGTAAATCGGTCAAGTGGTTGCTGAGATATAAGCCTCGCAAAAGCGTCCGCACGGCCGGCCGGCCGGCCGCTCATACTCAGAAATTTCCGTTAATCTAAGGAAAGACTCCGCTCGCTTCGCTCGCTCCGTAATAAATGTAGGACTTAACACGGTAACACCAGTATAACGCCTTTTGGGGCGACTAACGGAGCGAGCGAGAGGGTGGGCCTTGCACGTGCGAAATTTCGAGGGGGTACCTCCAACTGACTAGTGACTTGTGCATGGCACCTTACTAACCGGTCTCTAGCGATGTGCCAAATTTGAGCACAATCGGCCCAGCCGTTCTCGAGATCTGGAAGCGGCACCCTGCACGTGCGCACGTGCAAAATGGGTCCCAACTGACTTGTGCACGGCACCCTACTAACTGGTCCCTAACCATGTACCAAATTTGAGTGCCATCGGTCCAGCCGTTCTCGAGATCTGGAAACGACTCCTGCACGTGCGCACGTGCAGCAGCACCCCAACTCTGGCACATGGATATGCAGTGCCTAGTGGTTGCCTACCTACATGCCAACTTTCAGCGCAATCGGCCAAGTAGTTACCGAGATATTGCAACAATTACAAAACTGACACCTCTTCGTTTTGCACGTGGCACGTGCATAAGGGGTCAACCACATGCATCGGGAATAGTCCAATACTTGGTAGAAGGAATGAAGCTACCCTACAAAAATTACCGCGTGTAAATCGGTCAAGTGGTTGCTGAGATATAAGCCTCGCAAAAGCGTCCGCACGGCCGGCCGGCCGGCCGGCCGGCCGCTCATACCTACTCAGAAATTTCCGTTAATCTAAGGAAAGACTCCGCTCGCTTCGCTCGCTCCGTAATGACAGTTCCTACCTAGTAAGGAAGGGGACCTTGTAATACATGAATACCAGCACAATTTCATCAGCATCTAAACATTGTTTTCACATTTTGAAATAACAAACAGAATCACAGTCTATTTGACAACTTTGTTGTTTCTATATAATTTTCCAATACTTTCCAACCAATTTTCTTGTTTTTTTCCAACTGTTATGAATAAGTCTCATATTTTTCAGAAAATCGGTTTTCAGCATGCCTTCACTTCCTACATTAGCTAAGATTGCTGGCTGTGGAGCTTTACTGGTCGGCGGAGCCTTTTCCTTCGCACAATGGAAAATAGAGGTCAGCACAAAGAAAGGAAGGTCAAGTGGCTGTCTGCTAGTGGCACATATTCTCTGATGATTTTGTTGCACTTGTGTCTTGTCAGAGTCCATTGCCCTTGAGGTTGGATTTACCTAAAGATGCTTTTGTACTTTTCAATTACCTATCTACCTTGTAACTTGAAATACTTGGAACTCACTTCACTTCAATGAACATTCAACATTGCATCACTAATTACTCAGTTACTTGCTATCAATAAGGGGCCAGTAATTTGATGTAGCCTGTTTATTTAGCTATGACCATGGGAGGAAACAAGCAGGGTTGGGCATGGCTCTTATTCTCCTAGAAAGCCTGAATTAAAAAATTAAATTATTGTTGGTTTCCTTTCATTTCAGTGTTGCACAACAGACAAACATTATTGAATCCGCAGCATGGTGAAGTTTTGTTTTTGATTATGTTCTAGGAGGGTCTGAAGAGTGGCGTCTGGTACACGGAGTCGATGCGTCTGTTGCGGGCCCACCGCGGCGCCGCTGGTTTGCTTGGAGAACCGATAGTCGACGGCAGGCTCGACCTGGGTAGCAACGACACCAACTTCTGTGATCAGACACGAGCCCAGTTTCGCGTGCCCGTCAAAGGTGGGTAGCTATCTGGAACCTTAGGTCAGAAACTTCAGCTCCTCGCCCGTTCAGTTCAGCCCCTCTCGTAGACGGTGCGGCTGCCTGTCATCTACCGTTTGAACAAGGCCGACACCTAGCGGTTCAGGTTGGAATTGTCGCTAATCGCTGTTCGCACGGATGCTACCGTTAGATTGGCCGGCAGGATAGTGGTCGTGGACGTGCACTTAGACATGTGTATGTACATAATTCAATAATGCTACCACGCCTCTATGCCATGCGAGCTCATTGTTCTACTTTTATGATAAATAGATATGGAATGTAGTTAGTTTGTGCAGGTACCGTGTAAAATGATAGCGCCGATGGCGAAATTATCGATGGCCTACCGGGCTGATTTCGGCTAACCAGTATCATTTTATTTCACGATGGATAGCCTACGCTAGCTGATGTTATATTATCATGTGGCTCAGAGGACATATTTATCGCAATGGCCTATCAGATCTTTTATGTGTTCGGAAAAGGCCTGCAGCCACTCGTCGTAACGGGAGTTTGGCGTGTGTCTGCGCGCAGGTCCGAAGCAGAAGGGCTACCTGCACCTGTGGGCGTCTCGTGCAGACGGTGCGTGGACCGTAAACCGGCTGGAGCTGGAGCTGGCGACAGATGCCAGTCGGAAGCTGCTGGTACACTCCAACGAGGACCCTCCGGCGGCGGCCCAGACTGTGACTCCCTCTGCGACCTCTATGGCAGAGACGCCTGCCGTGGCGTCCGAGCCAGAGGCGGCTAGCTGAAAGACAGCTCAGTGCAAGTTCGGGTGGGGAGGGCTCTCGCTTTTACTAGGACTGATCAGTGGTCGGTGTCCCTGCCGAGAGCGCCGCTGGCGGCTGCCACGGAACGATACGTGCATCGGCGAGCGTTGGTGGCGCTGTGCTCAATGTTTGGCTCGAAGGGGCTCACGTTAGGCGCTCGCCAGCTCGTTAGTTGTTGAAGTGAGGGTGGTGAGTCGCACAGTCAGATGTATGTCCACGGGATGCTGAGCTAAGTCGGCACAAGTTACCAGACAGCGGCTGACAGTGTTCATTTTCGTACTAGGCTGTGTTCAAAGCGTACTGTCTGTTGCAATAGTGTTATTGCGCGCGAGAGGATCGTGTGCGCCTCGTCTCGAAGCAGACATGCTGTTAAACCATGTGTAGCAAAGCATGTTCTTGCAAGAGTTACTGTGATAAGCACGTAACTTGATTTTTGCGCGGAGTTTAATGGCGTTGATCGATTAAGAATGGACAAGAGGCTTAATTGCTGACCGATACTGGTTTAAAAGAGCCGTCTAACAGGTGACATTGACATCACATAGGATCTTTGTTTGCCAGTAGACCGTGAATAAATCTCACTTGTCTGCGTCTGCGGCTTCCATAGCCTCGGTGTCCGCTATTGACTCTAGAAGCTTTGATTCGGGCATTTTTGGTGTGTGGATCAAGTCAGGGATATCAGAAAGTATTGACTATTTCGACCACTTACGTTTTCAGCGAGAACGAAATTAAAAATAATGTCAATGAAAATGAAATGTTTAAATCCGGGACCTTACGTGGGCAGCGAGGAAAATGTCAATGCTCAAATATGAAATCGGGCTTGTATGTTTGCTTGTTTGTTTTGTAGGGTTAGGCTGTTCGGTCTGACGAGACTATTTCAGAGCCGGAAGGATGATAGGAATTAGGGGGAGACATTGGTCTGGGCCAGGCACCATATTAAACCGTCGGGCCTGAGCCCATCCAATTGGACAGGCCGCCCAGCCCCTCAAGCACGCACTGGACTCAGCTACGGGTGTGCCCCGTTGGAGCTGCCTCCATGGGATAAAGTTGCCCGTCCAGCCCGGATTCTTTTTTATAGATTTAGTCCCGACCAAGGCTATATAAACCGTCCCGACCAGGAGCCTTTTGAACGGAGGGATTCACGACGGAGCCCCCGCTAAGCAGAGCTTGTTATGTGCGCAAAACGACCTTGTAGTCGACACGCCCTGAAGCCCCAATAAACAAGCAATAAGCAGTTTGTTACGTTGGTCTTGCCCTCCACCCTCCGATCGCGCAATTCCTGTCTATGGCAGAATTTAGAGTCCAGAGTTTAGCGTACGCACATAGCCGCGCACGGCCGGTCCCTTTACTGATTTCAGCTGGGTACGGCCTGCCACCAACCGTAACCTACCCGCCAGGAGGCTCATGAACATCGGGCGCCCCTCGCGCCTCGAACCCCGGGCTCGCCAGGGCTCGTGCCTCGTGCTCTCACCACGCAGAGTCCAACGTTCTACCGCCGACTGAACTACGCGACCGGGACCGGATGGGGGGTTGAGACGTGGAGGATAAGTATTTGACTGTTTTGAGGATGGAAATGTCGGAGCGGTGTGATGAAATCGGGGGTTTATATACAGGGTGAATAGCCACGACGTCTTGGTATGGTATGGTATTTTTGGCTTACGGGCCACCACAGGGTTCCAGGGCCTCGTCTAAGGAATTTTCACTGGGGGGGGGGGGGGGGGCAGAGACTGAAGGAGGCAAACCTAGGGTACCCCCAAATCCTGTTTTCTCACCGGATTTAGGCCACTTGTTTTTCGTCACAGCCCTGAGACCATGATTTTTTTTACAAAAAAAAAAACAATCCGAGCCATGTGTAGGGAAGGGGAGGGGGATCGGATGGACCCCCCATGGGTTTTCGCAAAAAACTCGCGCAAAAAGCGGTTGACCGCGACTGAAACTTTCAGTACCCTCGAGCTGATCAATTTTACACCCACTCTAAAAAATTTCATGGCCCTGACCAAAATGACTTTTGACCTGTGGCCTGTTTCTCGAGACCATGTTTGGCCGGAATCGCTATTTAGCGTGTCAGCTCACATTGTCCGCTTGTTTCCAGTCTTTTTGTGATTGTAAACGTCCAAACATGTGAAATGCTGTTCTTCCCATGCATTACAGTTGGTGTCAAGGTCACGTGAAGGTCAGGGCAAAGTCATTGACCTTTGATGAACTTGTTTACTTTTTCGAGTTTTACAGGGTGTCCCATAAGTTCCTTCTCACCTAAATTTTTCTTTTAGAGGCTCTCTTATTTAAAGCCACGCTTGATTTATTTTGTAACTGAGCTTTTGGGGTTGCCATGGCAACTGTGAATGTGCTCCACGGTAACTAATTCGTCTAGACAAAATATTTTTTGCCAGAGAGTTCACTTCCTGTGGAGACGGCTTACGCCGCAACATAGAGGTCTCCGATACGGGAACGTCTCGGTATTTAGTCCACACTGGGCCATTCACGACGGTTGAGGGTGATTGAGGCCATCCAGTATGTAGCCAATGTCTGTCGCTAACTGGACGCACAGTCAACAAGTGACGCCGATGATTTGTCGGGAGTCAATCGCTGCAAGTTTACGCTCTTTTTTGTCAGCTTTCACGAGTGAGCCATGTGGCCAAAACTGTGTGGCGCGAAAATGGCCGTCAAAAAGGTCTTAGCGTTAGAAAGTTGGTAAACAGGCTTTTCAGGATGCATTACCAGCTGTCTAAGAGTATCATTTCGGGGTACCTAACTCAAGGTGACTTAAGCTCTACTTACCGGAGGGCTCAAAACAGTCAAAAACGTCTTAAAATGGCCAAACATGTGTTTCGTTATGCCTGAGGCTAAAAAACTGAAGGGCCGATGGCATCAATGTGGTCATCTGGACTACCTAGTCCGTGCTCGAGATAAACCACCGGTGCAAACCCCAAATCGGTCCCATATGGGCGACGTAAAAGGCTTTTATGTCATCCCGCTTTATTCCTATGCAAAAGGCCAGAGTCACGGTAATGTGGGGTAATATGCGTCCAGACACTGATCACAATGCGATTGATACTCCAGAAACAGTCTTGGGACGCAGAATGCTTCTCCAAGAAGATCTAGTAGGAGTTTCAGCTTTCTAGCTTAACTCGAACCGCAAGTATGACCACATCTTTTTAGGAGAAAATGGCATCCGGGAGGTCGTAGGCTCATCTTCAAGCAAGACAGTGCATCAGTGCACAGGTCAAGCAAAGCTTAGAAGCAGTGCCAGGAGACTGTGATAGGCGTGTGTGGTAAGATCACATCCCAGCCAACTCATCGGATCCAAATTTCATAAAAATGTGTTGGGAATATTGAACTCGAGGCTCGTCGAAGCGAACCGGTGTTTCAGCATTGAGGAGCTCACGGCGCATGCCAAGTCAGTCTGGGCTAACTTCAAGCCTGTTATGCTGCCAAACATGCCGGTTGGCATGTCGCAGCATGTATTCATGTGTTTGCCTATGAAATGGGGAGCACATTGAGGGGTTATAAACATATCAAAACGCAATGTACTCTGTTTTACATGCACATATAAGGTGAGAACGAACTTATGGGACACCCTGTACATGTTTCTAGAGTAGTTTTTGGGGCTGATTTCGAATTTAGCATCCATTTGAACATTTTTGGAGTAGTTTTAGTGCCTTCGTAACGTGTTACGACGCCGTCAGTTATAGTTAACACCTACTATTGATAGCCGGTAGGACGCCTACTTGTTGACCTGACCTGACGGACTGGGGGTGCTCGAGCTCTCCTAATTCCACGCCGGCTTGGCTTTGGAGCCGCAGCAGGCGGTGCGGGTCAAGGTCACCGCTAGGCGGTGGTGGATTTGCTGCGCCCGAGCACCCCCGGCTGAGCACAATTCTCCACCTATGACTGACCTGACCCGACCTGGCCTAAATGCATGAAGACATCATCTGTGATCAAAACTAACATGAAATAGTGATCACCACCCCGATAAACAACAGTTTCACTATGTTAAGTTCTAGCAGGTCCCGAATTTTCCGACCTTTGGGTCATTGACCTGACCTGGAAGGTCAACCAATGACCCAGAACCTTAAAATTGGCTATTATCGTCTTCCTCTCGTCACGGGCAACACGCTCGTTTTTTCCGCGAAGCTCTAGCTCGATCAGGGGCAAACGGCAGGGTTGTCCAACCGACCCCCCCCCCCTACACGTTAGACGCTGGCGAACACCGCACACATGCGAGGGTTAACATTAGTGTGCTACCCCCTCACATTGCCCCACCAAACAGTGACAAACATACTTATCCGTGTTGGGCGTTTGATTGAGTGTGGAGGAGGGGGCAAACACGAGTTTTTTTTAAATAAATTTAGCTCGAATGTTTGAATGGACGGATTGACAGAGCCGGAGCCCACGCTAAGCAGAGCTTGTTGCGTAGACCCCGACCCCTACCGTCCGATCGCGGAATTCCGGATAACGGGAGAATTTAGATGCCAAAGTTTAACGTGCCCTTCAAAGCCGGACACGGCCTGCCCCACTCAACTGACTTCAACTGGCTGCGGCTGCTCCCACCAACCGCAGACCATCCCCATCAGGAGTCTCAAATAACGAGCGCCGGAGCGTCTCGAGCCCGGGCTCTCACTACCTGGAGTCCAATGCTCTACCAACTGAGCTACGGGACAGGCAAAGTTGTGTCACTGGCCAGCTGCCAATTGACAATTTTCTTCTTGGCGCTCTCAGCTCTGAAAATCACAAAACTCTGTTTTTTCCCGTAGCCATGAACAGTTACCTATTGAACAAATAATTGTTTGATATTTCCGTGAAATCCATGTAAGACTCCTAACAAAAGCGTACAGTGGATCTTATTAGGATCTCCAGACGTAACTAGATGGCGTTGAGCCTTAGTCGAGTCCATGTCAAATTCAAGGAGAGGTCACTACCGAGCTGGGCCCGATGGGGAGGTGGGCGGGGAGGGGGGGGGGCGGGTGGCGAGGTCACGGTGCGGGTGACCTGTCAAACAGCCCCGGCGCGGTGGGGCACTGCCGTAGGCAAATGGCGCACTCCAGTGTTGTTCCATATCGCGGTGGTGGGCCGGGCGGCCGGTTAGCTTGACAGCTTGGAAGGAAAGGATAATGAGGCATGGTTTTGCTGTGGCCGGTTCACCTACTGTTATTTATGATGCACCCAGAGTAATGCAAATGTGGCGTTGATAATACAGCTGGCAATGGAATGCTAGCGAATGCTCCGAGCGCCTAGCTACTAGGATTAAGATTATTTATGTCTCCTGAAATTTTCATTGAATATAATTCAAGTACTAGAGAGATCGTATTCGTTCGCCAGTTTTTGACCGGCTGGCGTTTCTTGCGTAGAGCGCCCTTGGGCAAATATTTAGGTATAACGCAGGTGATTTTTTTTTTTTGCTGGTAAGACGCCTTTAGGGTCAAATCAAGCAGTGGCGGCGGAACACCTTTGATGAAGTGGGGGCACTGCCGACTTTTGGTCCCATTCTTTCCATGCAACGCCCATAGGGCTAATGTTAAAATGCCAAAATCAAACGGGGGCACGGTGCCCCGATGCCCCCCTCCCCCCCCCCGTTCCGCCACCACATGAAATCAAGTCGCTAAGAGCAGACATGTGCGTGGATCCGAGAAAATGGATCTGGGATCTGATCCCAGTAAACATGCCGACGTCGGGCCGACGTCGGGCCGAGGCTCGGCCCGACGTCGGCCCAACGTCGGTTCAACCTCGGCCCGACATCGGCTGGACGTCGGATATGCCCGCATGTTCCGACGTCCAGCCGAAGTCCAGCCGACGTCGAGCCGACGTCGGGCCGAGGTCGTTTGCCG